TGTCTGTCTCTATCTATATCTCTCTCTCTCTCTCTCTCTCTCTCTCTCTCTCTCTCTCTCTCTCTCTCTGTCTCTCTCTCTCTCTCTCTCTCTCTATCTCTCTCTCTCTCTCTATCTCGCTCTCTCTCTCTCTCGCTCTCTCTCTCTCTCTCTCTCTATCTTTCTATATATATATATAAATATATATATATATATATATATATATATATATATATATATATATATATATATATATATATATATATATATATATATATATATATATATATATATATATATATATATATATATATATATATATATATATATATATATATATATATATATATATATATATATATATGAAATAAACTAGTCATAAAAAAATATTAAAATAATCTAACTAAAATAATAAGTAATTAATCTAAAAAATAATATCTAAAATACAAAAATTTATTTCTGACTGTGTTCTGAATGAATCTCACCCAGAACTGGGCTCCACCACCACATCAGGCATTCCTGGAGCCCTGACCTGGCTCACCGCTGGGGCTTCATGGTCCAGGATATAAACCTCATCCTGGCATATTTCAGTTACAAAGTGAAGATGCTCCTACACACACACACATTGACTTTTAATGCAGCTTCCTCATATATATATATATATATATACCTTTAAATTTTAGATTAAACAATCATAATAATACCTGAGCCTTGTCGATGCGATAAAAGCGATCAGCTGATGTAGCTAGAAACAGAATGTACAGAAAAAAAAAATATTATTATTGTACAAATGCCAGTCATCAAAAGTGACTGGACTACAATTGGACTACAGACACTGCTTGACCAGGCTGTGGATCAAAGCTAATAATATTGTAAATAATGTTCAATTTGTTTACACAGTCCAATGGTTTCACTTCACAAGACCTCAGTGTGTCGTCAGGAGCCATAACTATTGATTTGGATTTGTTTGAATGTGTTTATTTTTAATCTCAAAAACCTGCCACCATTCACTGCCATTAAACGAATCAACAAGGATTCACAAAGTCAGCTTAAAAACTTCTTTAATGTTCGACTGAAGAAAAAAAGTCACCTACATCCAGTGTGTTATGACCGGAGGGTGAGTAAATGAACATGAAATATACATTTTTGGTTGAACTATCCCTTTAAAGAAGACTTTTCAGTGGGACACAAGAAAGAGAAAGACTGTTCAAAGCATGGACTTATTTAAAGTGTTTTATCTTATCTTATCTTACAGTACAGGCAATAGAGAAATACAGTTCAAGTCAGAGTTATTAGCCCCCTGTATATTTTGTTCCCCTAATTTCTGTTTAACGGAAAGATATTTTTCAAGATGCTAGTATTCAGCTTAAAGTGACATTTAAAGGCTTGATTAGGGTAATTAGGCCAGTTCAGGTAATTAGGTAATTGTATAACGATGGTTTGTTCTGTAGACTATGTAATAAATATAGCTTAAGCCGGATAATTATGGTTTAAAAAGTTACAAAGTGCTTTTATTCTAGCAGAAATAAAACAAATCAGACTTTCTCCAGAAGAAAAAAATATTATAGGAAATACTGTGAAAAAGTCCTTGATCTGTTAAACATCATTTGAGAAACATTTGAAAAAGAAATAAAAATTCACAGGAGGGCGAATAATGTTGTATCATGTTTTCAAGCATAGACTTACAGTCCAGGAAGCTCCAGTTGGCTGAAAGTCTGTGTGCTGAACTCGGCCGTGGCAAACCTGCACACTCATCCTGAGAAAACACACACAAAACACACAAAGACACGGATGAAAGAAGGAATGCAGATTTATCTCGCATCCAGTTCCTGAATCCAGACTGAGCTGTCAGCCAGAACTGACAGACGAAAACTGAATTTACTTTATTAATTAACCACAAATCTGAAAAAATAAGAGAGTTTTTATTTTATTTGCAGTCTAAATCACCTGTAATCTAAACCCCTGCAGTGTCTTGGGTAGTGTTTAATCAGTCACACTTTACAATAAAGCTCCATTAGTTTTTTTCCATACAAAATAAATAAATAAATAAATAAATAAATAAATAAATAAATAAATAAATAAATAAATAAATAAATAAATAAAATGCACTACTGTAAACAAAGAAAAACAAGTCAGTTGTACATCTGATCAATTGGCTCTTCCATTGCCTGTTGAAGAGGCATGCTGGCATGTGGTCATATACACATATGACATAAATATTTCTTTAAGAGATACTCCAAAATATCTTCAATAGGGTTTAGAAATGGCTCAACAGTGGCCTGCAGGTATTTGTTGTTGGATGAATGTTGATCTGTTGGCTCAATAGGTAGTGCTGTCACCGCACAGCAAGAAGGTCTCTGGTTCGAACCTCGGCTTAGTTGGCATTTCTGTGTGGAGTTTGCATGTTCTCCCTGCCTTCGCGTGGGTTTCCTCCAGGTGCTCCGGTTTCCCCCACAGACCAAAGACATGCGGTACAGGTGAATTGGATAGGCTAAATTGTCAATAGTGTATGAGTGTGTGTGTGTGGATGTTTCCCAGGGATGGGTTGCGGCTGGAAGGGCATTCGCTGCGTAAAAACTTGCTGGATGAGTTGGCGGTTCATTCCACTGTGGCGACCCCGGATTAATAAAGGGACTAAGCCGACAAGAAATGAATTAATGTTTTCAGTGTTTTCACTGACGTGTTTTCAATCACCAGTGTGTTCTTTCAATAGATGTGTTTTTTTAATAGTACCTATGACGTTTATTTTATGAATAAAGTGCCTTATGTATGAAATAGTGTGAAGTGTGCAGAAGTGTGTTGCAGAATTGCAACGGAAGTGCAAAGCAGTGCTTTTGTTTAAGGTATGGATACACAGTGTTTAAAGTATAGTGTCTAAAGTCTTCAAGCAACTTTAACTTTATTCAATATTTACCTGATAGTGCACTCGGTGGCCAGCAGAGGGCGCCTGATGCAAATCCTGACCAAAACACAACATAAAAATCCATATCAAGACTGCTGATGCTTACTATTGAGATGAATTGTTGACACGCATTAAAAAATTTTTTACCCAATAACAGAGGCATCAACACTACATTTTGTGGAAAACAGTGGTAAAAACTAATCAAGTGTCCAAAAATCATTCTCTAATCTTAAACTCCGTAAACTGAAACATCATTATGTGCAACATTCACTCGCTGACTTAACAGGCCTCAGTAAAATAAGACATACAGGTGCATGATGGGAAGTGCTCACCTCCTGCAGTCTATCAATGTAGAGTCGACAGGTTTCGAGGTCACAGTCTCCTCTCACCACCACGATGCCAACAGCAGTCGCTGAACACACACACACACACACACACACACACACACACACACACACACACACACACACACACACACACACACACACACACACACACACACACACACACACACACACACACACACAGTCAGTCAGTAATACACTCACCGCTCCACCTTCTCCCACACATGACTGTATTTAAAATGTTGGGTTGGGAAACTACCATTCAAAAGAACTAAAAACAATTATTTAAAAAAAAAATCTCATTAGGAGGTTACAATAATTTGGTGAGTCAAGATACTCTGGAGTTGGTGTACAAGAACTTGGTTGAAAGTGTTGTGAATTTTAACATGATTGCATGGTGTGGAGTGCTGCCAATTAAGGAAAAGCAAAAACTGTGTCGATTAGTAAAGATTGCCAGTGCAATTGTAGATAAAGCACAAAGACAACCAAATGAAATTGATTCAATGAGAATTAAACAGAAAGCACACGTCATTATTGCAGCTCTTGCAATCATTTAGGCAACCTCATGTAAAGAAAAATGTGTATTAAATGTCCTTTGTGCCGACCGGCATTAGAAATTTAAATACCGGTTTCTAAGTACGCACAGGGTTTTAGATAGAGTTATTACTGTGATTTATGTGATGACATCAAATGTATTTGTGTTGCCTGTTTTTTCTGTGATATGTGTGATGTGAATGTTGATGTGGTTGTGTGGTGAAGCCAAAGATCAATTTCCACGTGCGGACAATAAAGAAAGTAAAATTAAACAAAACAATTCACTTTAATTTTACAGGAGGTGGTAATATCAATATAAAATGGTAATATATGGTAATACACACTCACTGGCCACTTTATTAGGTACACCTGTCCAACTGCTCGTTAATTCAGATGTCTAATCAGCCGATCACATGGCAACAGAGCATCTTTTCTTGGCACACTTTGGGCCCATAAGTACCAATTGAGCATCGTGTAAATGCCACAGCCTACCTGACTATTGTTGCTGACCATGTCCATCCCTTTATGACCACAGTGTACCCATCTTCTGATGGCTACTTCCAGCAGGATAACGCGCCATGTCATAAAGCGCCATTCATCTCAGACTGGTTTGTTGAACATGAAAATGAGTTTACTCTACTTAATTGGCCTCTACAGTCACCAGAATTTAATCCAATAGAGCACCTTTGGGATGTGGTGAAGTGGGAGATTGGCATCATGGATGTGCAGCTGACAAATCAGTAGGATTAAGGGAGTTTTGAAGGCAAAAGGGAGTCCAACCTGGTACTAGTATGGTGTACCTAATAAAATGGCCAGTGAGTATATGTATATATAAACATTTATATATATATATATATATATATGTGCGTATGTGTGCGTGTATATATATATAATTTGTCCTTCAATTGTATACAGTGAAAACTGAGCCAGAGGTATGTTTGGCTTTTCTTAAATCTTCTTGCTTATTAATAATGAATGGATGAACAGTAGGAATAAGGATTTCACTGATAGTTAAACAAACTCCTTTTGTAAGTCACACACGCAAAGCGTCATGGATAAATGTGGACATGATGCTGATCTGAAGTGCATTATTGGATACATGAGAGGAGAGATAACTCACAGATGTCGCGCAGACGTTCCTTATCGAACTGCATGCTGTCGTAGTCCTGCAGACCGATGCGGTTGACACGCAGACGCAGGCGCTCTGGAACGGCGTGAGGGCTGATGGGATACGAGAAAACTGATTTAACCAGCAGACACACATTTGATCTATTGAATCGTAATGAACAAGTATAAAGACAAAGCATGAATCCCACATGAAGAAGAAGATGAGGAGGAGAAGGAAGAGGAGATGAGTGAAGATCACAATGGCTGACTGTAGTCGTGAATGCATTTAAATGGGTGTAGTGGTCATTTGGTCTGAGTAGCGTCGACCAAATCTGTCATGCTAAAATAAGTCAACATGAGCGACCCTTTAGAGACTGTTGACATATACAGTTATATGAAGAGTTCATAAGCAAGGTCACACAGCTTTTATTTATTTTCATAAATGTGACCATTAAGTTGCACGGATATATTTTTAGCATGAGCCAAAAATACATTGTACAGGTAAAAATTTTTCTTTTATGCCAAAAATAATTTTTAATCATTAAAGAATATTAAGCAAACATCTTCCATGAGTCAATTTCTTATTGTAAATATACATAAACTTTTAGCAATGTGCATTGCTAATGTGATTTATTAGTAGGTGTAATGCTTGTTGTCCAATGTCCTACTAGTTAAGCTAATTATGGTAAATACGGTGTTTAAGTTGCACTTTTAATGCTAGCATTTAGCAAAATAACTACTAAATATGATTTATATTCTATTCTATTAATATCAATGACAAAACAAATAAACTATTTGAAATGAGTTATTAAAACTACTGTTTAAAATGTGTTGATTTGTTTCCGTTAAACAAGACTTAACAAAAAATGTATAGTTTTTAAACAATAAAATGTCATTTCTAATAATTTTGTCTTCAACTGTAGGTTGAAAAAACTGAAATATACTGTTATAATTACAGAAATAAATAGATGTCAATTCTGATGTAAATAACATATTTGTTTAAAAATCTATTCAAGTTTTTATTTAGGTAATAATTAGCATTATTATATAATAATAAGTAAAAAATAACAATCCACTTTTGAGTTCAACCAGTGTTGCCAACTTTATCGCTATATTTAGAGACTTTTCAGATCCCTCTAGTGACAAATTTTTAAAAAGCATCTAGCAACAAATCTAGCAACTTTTTTGGGTGTTACTGGAGATTTTTATAGACCCTTGTGTGTCTGTACTGTACCGTTCCTTCTCTTCTCAACTAGTTGCGGATGATGCCGTCAACCCCTCCCCCACCTTAGATCACTTAGGGCCTACTCACACTATGCTATCCGAACTATGCCCAGACCTGTTTCCTGGATCGTTTGAGAAGTGTGAGTGCTCTGAATCGGGCTCAGGCACGGTTCACTTGGCCGGACCTGGCTTGGTTGGAAGAGGTGTGCCAGAGCGTGGTTCACTTGGGCTTTAGCGATGTGCGCTTATAGAGTGAGTGCAAAGTGCGACTGAGCCTGAAACTGAAGACGAGACGTGACTTTTACGGGGTTGTTTCATATGTGTTTGTTAATCATTCTTACTGTTCAGTGAACGCAAATGGTCATAGATTATTAAAGACACAAACACCTCACTGCACGACAGCTGCACCTTCAGCAAACCTCCTAATTCCTGCAGGACGAGGACTTTATGATTGTTTATGAGCGTCAAAAGTGGCGGATCTGTTCGATGAAATGTTTGACTGAGTGTCACCGCATCGCAATTGACTAAAACAATATAACTAAAGAAATCTTCACTGAGCTGTGCTCGATGACGTAAACGTGCTAAGGCTCAAATGTAATGTGAGTGCGGGCCGTCGGGGGAGATGGGAGGAGGGACAAGCGTGCTTTGGCCCGGTTCAAGGCAACTGTACATAGTGTGAGTACACCCTTACAGGCGGCCCAGTCCTCGTACAGCAGTCTCTTCCCCCTGCAGCCCGAGAGCAGATCATTCCTTTGTGTACTGACGGCAAATGATCTAGCACCGCGAGTGTGAGGTATTTCCCTTGTACAGTTAAACTCATCTGCTTCTACTTTGTTTTAACAATTTAACAATTTAATTTGACCTTGTTCACAATCAAAGCTAATTTAGTGACAGTTTCGGAACTTGTGTGGGTTTATTATGGCTGCAAATTTACTACTCATCTATATTCATGTACTATATTCAAACAGCAATAAATTTAGTTTAATTGACATGTGGCGACGCAGTGGCGCAGTGGGTAGTGCTGTCGCTTTACAGCAAGAAAGTCCCTGGTTTGAGCCTCGGTTGGGTCAGTTGGCGTTTCTGTGTGGAGTTTGCATATTCTCAGTGTTCGCATGGGTTTCCTTCGGGTGCTCCGGTTTCCCCCACAGTCCAAAGACATGCAGTACAGGTGAGTTGGGTAGGCTAAATTGTCCATAGTGTATGAGTGTAAATGAGTGTGTATGGATGTTTCCCAGAGATGGGTTGCAGCTGGAAGGCCATTCGCTGCGTAAAACATATGCTGGATAAGTTGGCGGCTCATTTTGCTGTGGTGACCCTGGATTAATAAAGGGACTAAGCCGAAAAGAAAATGAATGAAAAAAATTGTCATGCTTACATAAAGCATAGTGCAAATATAACCCCCCCCCCCTTTATTAACCATCAACAAACAGAAATGGTTGGACGTGATGTCTTCAGTAATATGGAAATTGACATATGATGTAATCTAGCGACCTTTAGCGACATTTTTAGGGCAGAGCTTAACGCCTTTTTATTAAAAAAAGGTTGGCAACAGTGTGTTCAAAATGTAAAAGAGATTTAATACAGATTGAATTAAATGAAGACAGACTTTGAATTAATTTTATTTGATGGTTTCATGTTGACTTTAAGATGCACAGCGAGCGACAGAACCAAAAAAAACTCAAGCACTGATGAGTGAAACCCTGGACTCACACAGATGCGCACACACACAGAGGCTCTGTCAGCTTATGTGAGTGTGTGTGTGTGAGAAAGAGTGAGTGTGTGAGGGCCGCTGAGACACAGAGAGTGTGTACTTACACAGAGAAGGAGTCTGGGGGAGCAGAGAGGCGGCGCAGGTCGGCTGCACACACTTTCTGAATGCTGCGTCAGCGCAGCCACAGCACAGCACAGCCATCAGCACAGACAGACAGATGACAAACACAGACACATGACAGACAGACAGATGACAGACAGATTTCAGACACATGACAGACAGACAGATGACAGACAGATTACAGACAGATTTCAGACACATGAAAGACAGATGACAGACAGATGACAAACACAGACACATGACAGACAGACACATGACAGACAGATTACAGACAGACAGACAGATGACAGACAGATGACAAACACAGACACATGACAGACAGACAGATTACAGACAGATGACAGACAGATGACAGGTGGATGACAAACAGGCAGATTACAGACAGTCAGACAAATGACAGAGGACAGATTATAGTCAAAAAGACAAATGGCATACAGACCGACAGACAGACAGATTACAGACAGACAACATACAGACAAATTACAGACATACAACAGACAGACAGACAAATGACAGACATATTACAGACAGACACAGATTACAAACAGATGACAGACAGATTATAGACAGACAAATTACAGACAGACAGATTACAGACAGACAGATTATAGACAGACAAATTACAGACAGACAGATTACAGACAGACAGATTATAGACAGACAAATTACAGACAGACAGATTACAGACAGACAGATTATAGACAGACAAATTACAGACAGACAGATTACAGACAGACAGATTATAGACAGACAGACAGATTACAGACAAAAAAACAGACAGGCAGATTACAGACAGAAAAATGACACAGAGAGACAACAGACATACAGATGACAGACAGATTACAGACAGAATGACAGACAGACACAGACAGATGACAGATTTTAGATGGACAACAGACAAATGACACAGGCAGACGACAGACACAGACATACAGATGACAGACAGATGACAGGTGGATGACAAACAGACAGATTACAGACAGTCAGACAAATGACAGAAGACAGATTATAGTCAGAAAGACAAATGACAGACAGACAGACAGACAGACAGATTACAGACAGACAAAATACAGACAGATTACAGACATACAACAGACAGAGAGACAAATGACAGACATATTACAGACAAACACACAGATTACAAACAGATGACAGACAGATTATAGACAGACAAATTACAGACAGACAGATTACAGACAGACAGATTATAGACAGAGAGACAGATTACAGACAAACAACAGACAGGCAGATTACAGACAGACAACAGAAAAATGACACAGACAGACAACATACATAAAGATGACAGACAGATTACAGACAGACACAGACAGGTGACAGGTTTTAGATGGACAACAGACAAATGACACAGACAGACAACAGACACAGACATACAGATGACAGACAGACAGACAGACAGACAGACACAGACAGATGACAGATTTTAGACGGACAACAGACAAATGACAAATGCAGACAACAGACACACAGATGACAGACAAATGACAGACAGACATATTACACACAGACATACAGATTACAGACAACAAACAGACAGATGACAGACAGACATACAGACAGATGACATAGACATACAAACAGATGACAGACAGACATACAGACAGATGACAGACATACATACAGACAGGTTACAGACACAGACAGATGACAGACAAACAGATTACAAAGACATAAAGACAGATTACAGACAGACATTCAGAGAGATGACAGACAGACAGATGACAGACATACAGACAGATGACAGACCAATTACAGACACAGACAGATGACAGACAGACAGATTACATAGACATACAGACAGATTAAAAACAGAAAGACAGATGACAGACAGATGCATGAGTGGCAGCCGAGAGAAATGGAGACACAGACAGAAAAAGAAAAAGAAAGAGAACAACACTGAGCTATGCAGAGCAGCACACAGAGACGGCAGAGCATTAGTGCTGTTACTAATACTAACACACACCAGCTGTTAGACGGGTTAGTTAACACAACCTTAACCAGACGGCAGAAATCAGAGAAATACTGTCTGTTACACCCCACGGCTCAGAAAAAGACATGCTTTAACATGCTCTATATGAGCTCATGTGCTGGGGTCTAGTAATGAATTTTAAATAGCATTAAAATGTTAATCATACAGACATGATGCATTATTTAAAGTATTTATACTATGTATATTAATATACCATGAAAAGACCCTCATGAATGTGTCAGTAGGGTTTCAGATATGTAATATGTTGATCTTGTAATAACAGGAAAGCTTAGTTCAAACTGTTAAAAGTAAGATATTATAATTAAACAAAACCAAATCTGAGATTGCTAACCATTTCAGATTCATTCTTCTAGAAACAAAGATCCAACTATATCTTAACTACGTTAAATTAATCATTTTGTACGTCATCCACTTGTGTTATCACTTGATTGAATGGACATTATTAATGGTTATCAGCTGATAGATATGGGCCAGTAGGGGCCTTCAGAAGGCTGTTATCATCCATTCACATGGTTAATTAAATATACTAATAGAGAAGACTCCAGATCCAGATCCAGATCTGTTTTTACATTACTGTGATGGTTGGGTTTAGGGTTGTGGTAGGAATAGACGTTAATAAAATACAATTTATGGAACAATTAATAAATAATATAAATAATTATTATAGCTAATCAGCTATTATAATGGAGAAGACTCTAGATCCAGATCTGTTTTTACATTACTGTGATGGTTAGGTTTAGGGTTGTGGTAGGAATAGACGTTAAAAAAATACAATTTATGGAACATTTAATAAATAATATAAATAATTCTTGTTAACTTCCAACCGCAGCCATATGTGATCTATAGCTGATTAACCATGTGGATGGATGTCAGGCTCATTCTGAAAAAGTAGTCCCATGGACATTTCTGGAGACCGCGAAATATGGGATGTACGTATTTTTTGTAGTTTATGTTTTTGCTACACAGAGGCCGCTGTGTGCGCTTTTTCGCATCTCAAATGTCTCTCGAGTGCCATTCGCGCCCACGCTGTTCTCGTGTAAACCCACCAGAGGTCGCTGTCGAGTGACTGTCTGTCTGACTGACTGAATGACTGGGTGACCGGCCAATCGGCTGACCCACCCTCCTCCTCCTTCCCTAAACCCAACCAATCTTACCGATTGACCCGCCCACCCGCTTATTTCCCTAAACCCAAGCAACGATTAACAAAAGCCGTCCAAAAAAAGAAAAGCCCTCGTCTGACTTTTACCACGTTTTCGGATTTCACCACATTCTCACCCTGTAGTGAACTTGTTTATTTTTTGGATTCGGTTTTTGTCTTACCTGATTTCTGGAACCGCTCTTCCCCGGACTCGAACCCGGTTGTCATCTCAACTCCGCCGACGTACACAATGAGCTAACTGGACAAACTGATTGCGCTGGGAAAGCCTTCCACACGGAGGTAAGTGGTCAGCCGGTAAGCGCGAAAAGGAACGTCGTCATACCGCCTCATAGCGTTCGTTTAAAAATATGAAATGCAGCCATACGCACCTCTGGCTACATAAATCGCGGTCTCCAGAAACGTCCACGGGACTACGTTTTCAGAATGAGCTTGGGTTGCAGCCTTCTGAACCAACTAGTGGGTGCAGAAGGCCCCTACTGGCCCATATCTATCAGCTGATAACCACTGATAACACCCATTCAATCGAGTGATAACATTCGAATCGGCTGCTATTAAAATGATCTGCATGCTAATTAACATCTGTAATTGTGTTTATAATATACACCCTAACCCAACCCTTAAACCTGCCACCAAACACCACTAAAACTGACCTTTACCCCACCTCAATAGCGTGATATACAATACATTATATACACATTAGGTACACTGCACTTGTTTATTGATGCAGTTCTCTAGTAGTTAAGGCCCCTTAATATTTAAATATTTTAAACAATCACACACAAAAACAATAAGGATAACTTGTTTTCTCATGCACCATCTTGCAGGTTTGTATGTATGTGTGTGTGTGTGTGTGCGTGTTTAGTGACTCACTCATTGAGCAGCGGTACAGATGTGCGTCTCTTGCTCTTCTGCACCATGTTGGCCTGGTTCCTCAGAGAGATGCGCAGGGTGGAGGGCGCCAGACGGCACGGCTCTCCATCTACCTGCACTGGCAGAGTCTTGAAGGTGGTGATGAGCACCTCTCGACACTGATGGAGACGATCCCCATGACCACCAACCTGCAGCGCCGCCTGGTGGAGGATGGAAAGAACAGGAGATCACAACATCATCACTGATTGAGATGTACAGATGGGCAGACGGATAGATAGATAGATAGACAGACAGAGACACAGACAGAAAGACAGATGGAAGGACAGATGGACAGAGATTCAGAAAGACAGATAGAAGGATGGACAGACAGACAGATAGACAAATGAATATATGTATAGCCAGACAGACTAATGGATAGATGGAAAGACAGACAGACAGATAGACAGACTGATAGATGCATAGACAGACATATATTGATAGACAGACAGATGGATAGACAAGCAGACTGATGGATAAATGGACAAGCAGACAGACAGACAGACTCACCAGAGAGGCCATGGTGAAGCCGATGACCTCGATGCAGCCATCATCATGTCGCTGTGGCTCAAAGTCTCGGTGGTCTCCTGTGTTTCCCCATGGCATTGTTCCAGCACAGTATCTGCAGGGATCAGCAGTGTTCAGGAGTTTAACTCTGTTCAACAGATATAATCTCTGGGACATTTCTGTCCTATTATAATCAACAAGATTAAACTAGAATTAATACAATCAAAAAAACAAACAAGCATTGATTTAAAATCTATACAATCCAAACACAACTGAGCATTAATTTAAGCCTTGATTTTATATATATTTTTAATTTTTAGCTTGACTTAAAATTTATTCTACCTCATTAACTGTTTATTATTTTACAGTGTTTATCAGGTTAGCATGATCGCGATAATCAATTATAAATAAAAAATAAATAAGTAAAAAAAATACATAAAAAAATAAAATAAATATATTTCAAGAGTATAAATAAAGTACAAAATAATAATACTGTTAATTTCTAAATAATCATAAAATAAATAATAAATATAACAATAACACTAACAAAAAATACAAAATAAATAATTAATCAAATAATAAAAAAATAAAAAAACAAAAATAAATAATCAAATAAATAATAATAAATAAATTAATTAATTAATTAATAAATAATACTAATAAAAATAAATAATAATACTATTAATAATAATAATAATAATAATAATAATAAATAATAATAATAATAATAATAATAATAATCATAAAATTAAATAATAATAATAATAGTAACAACAACAATAAAACAAATCAATAAATAATATAAAAATGATAAGTATGAATAATAATATTAATAATAATACTAAATAATAATTATTAAAAATATAGTAATATTAATAGACATTTATTTTGAGCGTACATGATTGATCACCATTATATTTCCAAAGGTTTCATTTGAAGATAATTAAATAAATCTGTATTGTTCAGCAAAAAATAACTAATAAAATAGATAACTGTAATATTTAATAAAAAATTATAAACTAATTAATTTTAATACTTTTTAATACTTCAGAGGAAGTTACATCACAGCCATTTCTCTTACAGACTTCATTAAAGCCACAGGTAGCAAAACCAACCTTTCAAGCTCCACATTTTAACAGTGTTATGGGGAAAACATCGCATTAATCATCTGTGCACAATTGTTTTTTTCTTGGCACCAACTATCATAATAATGTGTTAGCAAAGGCCATTATTAGCGGTTCTGTCCTGACATTTACAACGTTTCAGACTAGACAGAAAAACATGTTTTCAAAGAGCGCTGTCAGGGGTTATTCACATATTTTTATCAATTATTTTTCATATTTAATGCCTGAATTCTACATTCTACCAGATAATGTTTATGATTAATAAATGATAACAGTTTACTGAAATATCTTATTAGTTAACTCAGACTATAAACATGTGCAGCGTTTATTACATTCTAATAATGTTGGTTCCGTTTTGGACAACCCCCCAAAAAAATGGGACTATAAATTGAATTTAAAAACCTACCCCGCAATATGTTTTGTCAATATTTTACCTAAATGTTTGGCATTTTAATACATATATTAATGTTTTATCCTTATTATTAATATTAATATTAATATTATTATCATTAGTCTATTATTGTTTTATTATTATTATTATTATTATGCTATTATTATTATTATTATTATTATTATTTATTTTTATTATTATGCTATTACTATTATTATTATTATTATTATCATAATACTATTATTATTATTATTATTATTATTATTATTATTATTATCATTGTTAATATTATCATCATCATCATCATCATAATGCTATCATTTTATTATTATTATTATTATTATTATTATTATTATGTTATTATTTTTATTATTATCTTTGTGATAATATTACCAATAATAAAAATATAATAACACAGTGTTATAATTGGACTAAAAACAAAAAAAAACTTACCCTAAAATATGTTTGTAAATATTTTACACATATTTTACAGTATTGATATTAGTATTTGTTAATCTAATTTGTTAACGGTAATTCACATACGACTTTAATAATAATAATTATATATTTGATTAGTTTTGCATTAGAACAATAAAAACAGGCCACTTGTTTTGGTGATAATAATAACAACAAGAACAAGAACAACAATAATAATAATAATAATAATAGAGCTATAATAACACTACTACTAATAATAAATATTATTAAATTATTATTATTATTATTATTTTTTATTATTATTATTATTATTTTCTGCGTAATAATAATAATAATAATAATAATAATATTAATAGAAATATAATAACATACTAATAATAATAATAATAATAATAATAATAACATACCAATAATAATAATGCTTATTTATTTATTTATTTATTTAAGGTCTTTGATTTGTATGGGTTTTATGTTTATCTCATTATAAAAACCCTGCAGAGTATGGCTGCTCATTTCAGCATCAAACCTGGGAATATTCAAGAAGACGATGCACTGAAACTTGAGCTCCTGGATCTTGGCTGTGAGATCGGTGCCGTCACACTGAAGAGACAGAAAGACAGAAGAGCATGAGCTGGAGAAACAGCAGAGCAGAGACACTGAGAGATTAGGCAGGAGAACAGGAGCAGGAGACTCACCACAACTCGGACATGCTTAGACAGATCCCTGGAGCTCCTCTGGAGGAAGTCTGAGAACGCAGCCTGAAAAACAGTACAAACACTCTCAGTGTCTCACACACACACACACACACACACACACACACACACACACACACACACACACACACACACACACACACAGGACTGATTGACGGCAGCTCTGCTCACCCCTGCATAGAACATCTTGTTACGGAAGCGACTGTTGAATTTCTCTGGGTTTGCTTCTGTGAACGAGCAAAAACAACACAGATGATTATGAGACAGACGCAAAGAGCAGCTTTATCAACAGCTCAATCGGTTTAAAGAGACATTGTACAGCTTCCTATAGACTGTAATGTTGATATTTGAGCATGAAAAACATCTGCAGCTGAAGCACAGGCTGAACAGGCTCCACCCACTTCTAAAAAGCTCATTTGCATTTATAGAGGCACACACAAAATCAGCACACGCATTTAAAGCCTGGTATAATCATTGATCAGGGAGTTATTGAGTAGTTGTGTTTCAGTGTTTTTAGGGAGTGTGTGTGTACATTTGGGCATTTCAGTGTGTGTGAACACCAGTAACTGGCAATGCAATATACAATACAATGCAATGTAATGTATTATAATATAACGTAATATAATATAATACAATTCAATACGATACAATACAATAATATAATATAATACAATGCAATGTAATGTAATATAATATAACGTAATATAATATAATACAATTCAATACGATACAATACAATAATATAATATAATATAATACAATGCAATGTAATGTAATATAATATAACATAATATAATATAATACAATTCAATACGATACAATACAATACAATACTATACAATACTATAATATAATATAATATAATAATATAATATATTATAATATAATAAAATAAAATAAAATATAATATAATAATATACTATAATATACTATAATATAATATAATATAATATAATATAA